GCTTTTTTCCCCGTGCCATTAATGGCACGCTTATACTAGGTGTTACAGTGATGGGAATTTTCTGAAAATTTTCGGAATTCCAAAAATTACTTCTGATCCAATTTTCTAGCAAAAAAATCCGAAATTTTCCTGATATTTAAAAAAAAAATATCGATTTTATTTTTCCATTTTCAGAAGAATGCAAAATAAAATTTTTGACTTGTATTGAACATGTGTACATCTGGTCTTTTGACGGTTATAAGTTTATTTAAAAAAAAACTCTTGTGTTACCGTATTGTCATATACAAGTCTAGATCTCAGTCTAGACTAGAGTGGTTTGAATCAGTCTATAGTCTAGATAGACATATTCTACATATTTTAGTTTCTTTAATTTGAATACTTTTGATTTAGATTATCTAGAATAGATCTAGAGTGTCTAGACTTCAATGGCTGCTTGCCAGCTTTTAAAAAGTTCAGAAAAGTATGAGTATCATGATGCCCGGCCGCTATGCGCTATTAATTTTGCTCTGTTGATACGATGGCCCCTACATTTTTTCTAATTTGAACCCTGCCTGTTGACTTCCATGAGTTCAAATGGGATTAGATTTAGACATCTAGATCTATTATAAGATCTAGATCTAGTAGACCTACTGGCCATCTATATACTTTACATGACTAGAGTGAGTTACTGAGTATAAGCTTGATAGAATATAGATCTATTAATAATATATTGGATCTAGAGCATGGATGCAAGCATCAAAACCCCTGTCTCAAAAATGGCTCTAATGATTTTTCTAGAAATGTAACAGTTAATGTCTTGCTGAGAAATGAATTACTGGTACTGGCTGATTGGCCTCACAGGGAAAACTCCAGATTTTTTTTAAGATTTAAATTTTGCTATAAATTAGTGAACAAAAAAAAATCATGTCATCCGTAGTGTACCGATAACTGAGTTGTTTATTAAATAAAAAGTTGCTTTAACTTAAGCTTTGCTTTTATTTTTACATAAATCTAATATGATTATTTCTAGATGTAGATTTTTCTTTTTCTTGTTTGCTTTTGCATTGTTTTAAAGAAGTCAAAATAGGTTGGTATTGAATTCCTATTTGATTTTAATATTTTATGAACTAGCTGCCCTGTTAAACTAGTTGAAAATTGTTCCCTCTCAGGAAAGTCACCTTGACTACATTGTAGCAGTAGCTAACTTGAAAGCTCATATGTATGGACTAGCTCAACAAAGAGACAGACATCAGATCAAAGAGATGGTTGATAAAATCTCAGTACCAGAGTTTGTCCCCAAATCTGGTGTGAAAATTGAAGTAACAGATAGTGAAGTAGCCTCTTCCTCCAATACAGACTCAATGGGTAATCTTTTCACATTAATTTTAGAGATCCTCACTTAGAGTATGCTAGTAAACATCTCCTAATAAATTTTGTTTCTCATCTGTAGCCAATGAGTTAGATCTTATCCAGAAATGCCTTCCAGACCCCAGCACTCTTTCAGGGTTAAAGATTACTTCACTAGAGTTTGAAAAAGATGACGATTCCAACTTTCATATGGACTTTATTGTAGCAGCTTCAAATCTCCGAGCTAACAATTACAGTATACCAGAGGCAGATAGACATAAGGTTTGTTAAGGCATATGTGAAAACAATTGAAAAGTGATGTTTATGATAGACTTAATGTTTTGGATTTTCTCAATGAATTGAAAATTGTTGACATATATTTGTTGTAAATGTAATTACTTTTTTAAATTCACTCCTTTTGTTTTAGAAAACAATTGTACTCTTAATTTCTTTCAGAGTAAGCTCATAGCTGGTCGAATCATCCCAGCTATTGCAACAACAACAAGCATGATTGTTGGATTGGTGTGCTTAGAACTAATTAAGGTAATTACACATGAAGAAGGGATGAAAACCTCAACTTTAATTTGTTGATAAAATGTTGACTTTCATTCATTGTATTCATTGTTTCAGCTGACCCAGGGCCATACAGAAATAGAATTGTACAAGAATGGCTTTGCTAATCTTGCATTACCATTTTTTGCTTTTTCTGAACCCATCCCTCCAGCCAAGAACAAAGTAGGCCAACTTTTCATTCCACTGCATGTAGATATATATATGGTAAATATTGTACTTTTCATAAGTCAACACATTCTGCTTTATCTGGTCCACTGCAGTGTCTCTTCCTTTATTTCAGTATTATGATACAGAGTTCACCTTATGGGATAGATTTGAAGTTCAAGGAGAAATGACTCTACAAGAATTTCTAGATTATTTCCAGGTTAGTCATTTGAACTGTTTAGAACTTGATTTCTAGATTATTTCCAGGTTAGTCATTTGAACTGTTTAGAACTTGATTTCTAGATTATTTCCAGGTTTGTCATTTGAACTGTTTAGAACTTAATTTCTAGATTATTTCCAGGTTTGTCATTTGAACTGTTTAGAACTTGAACATTTATTACATAGAAATGACCAATTGTTAAAATGTTTTCCTATTTCCCCTCATCAGAGGCAGTACAAGCTGGAAATTTCCATGTTGTCTCAAAATGTCTGCATGCTTTACTCTTTCTTTATGCCGCCAGCTAAACGGCAAGAAAGATTGGATTTACCGTAAGTGCAAGTTTCTTTACTTAACTGTAGTTTGTTTGAACTACATTGTCTATACAAATATGGGTATCCCTGATTTCATGGATGTCAAGATGTCTATTTACTTAGATTGATCTCACCTACAACTCACACTTTTGTTGAAGTGAGACCTACAATGAGTTCTTTCTATTCTTCAGGTTGTCTGAAGTTGTTAAAAAAGTTTCCAAGAAGAAAATACCTCCCTACGTGAAAGCTCTAGTTTTAGAAATCTGCTGTAATGACGAGAATGGTGAAGATGTGGAGGTGCCTTATGTCAAATACAATCTACCCAAATAGTCATCCAGCCATTTGTACAATTGTCATGATCCAACTAGTTTGTTACACTTATAAACAAAACTTTAGGTTTAAACACACACAAAATAAATCTCACATTTTTTTTTCATACTGTGCTTATTGTTCTAAATGTTCATTTTGTTCTTTGACAGCCATCATTTTGTTGCTTTTGTTCATTTTGTGGCCATGCAGTTCCATGATGGATGTTGGCCTGTAGTCTAGTGCTCATAAATGATGCATTTATTCAAGTTAGGTGTCCTGAAAGTTTTGACAAATGTTCTTAATTTCTGAAAAAAATTATTTATGATTAAATGGTGGTGCCCTCTTGTTGACTTGTAAATGTTGTCCTCCGAGACTTTTCATTGTTTTTGAATATGAACCTTGAGTGCATGATCTCACTTTGACATTCAAGACAAATAAATGTACTGACACACAAGGTATTGTTGTTTCATAATTAACTAGGTATTTTCCTGCTTCAAATCTAGGTTTGAATGTGACGCTGTGAACCTTTATATGTGATGCTAACGGGAATATACTACACATAGCTGGCGGTCATATGAAAAGTATTGGCGTTTTTTTGTATTGTAACAATTGGGTTTGAATTATAACTTTTGTTTCAAATGGAAGAATTTAAATCTCTACCCTGAAACATTAATATGAATGCTTAATTTGATTTTAAAAAGAAAAAAAAACTTTTGTAGAGCAATACCAGATTTTTAGACAAAGTAATTAGCTCTTTAATCAATGCACTTTTTGATGGTATGAGACTAAACATGTTCTTGCAAATAGATGTAGCTTGTAGTTCCAGAGAACAGCCTTCAAACCTGCATTTGTATCCACTTGCTCATAAGACGCAGCAAAAAAAAACCCTCTTGAACTTAACTGTTTAAACATAATTCGAACGTTTTAAGATGTGGGTACGTGATCAATTCAATAATTTCATTTTTTAAAAAAAAAGTGTTTAGATACCGGTATTTACAAATGATTTTATCTTCGGAACCTTCAGAATCGATAGTCTCGGCAGCTTTGACAAAGTAGATTACCCCAAGTATTGGTACTGGTCTCTAAGTGAATGTATCCACTCTCAGGTGTTTCACAACCAACCGTTATTTCCTACTTCTTTGCTGTAGGATTCCTCGGTTCTCACTGACGTTTAGCGTCTGACGGCCAATCTAAATCAGTAGACCTTTGACAAGCGTTGAGCACTTAGATGGTAGAGAATCAAAGACGCGTAACAATATTAAGAAAGTGGAGAGGACATGTTCACGACCTGCCATGCGACTCCTTTCTTTGACGCACTTATGGGTCTGTTCTGCAGGGGATCTGCAGCTGCCTAGATTATGCCGGAATTGACCATTTAATGAGAACATAAAAGCTAGATGTGGCATTCATCTCCCACCCGACTGTCCATGAAAGTAGACCTGATTAAGTCACTTTGCTGTAGTAAATTCAGAACAGTGCTGCAAGAATAGTTCTATGCAAATCGAGACGCACTCTGCCATGACTCCAATACCCAGTTAGTAGACATCGATTACAAGATGGTCAGTAGTTATTTAATTACGAAATGACCTCGTGACACTTGTCCAAATATTAGTGTCTTTCACTCCCCTCCCTTTTTTTGTTTCAAAACTAAATAACACCCCTTCCACCAAATTGAGCCTTAAGTGTTTGCTTATAGTGCTAAATAAATTGTATTGTACATTTGAAAGACACAGCCAATCATGTGGGATTGACCACTTGGTTACCTATCAAGGAGTTTAAAACCATACTCGAACTGACATGTTTGCTGAGCGCAGCATAAAAACCTCCGATACCCTCTTCATGAAATGCTTTTACCGGTACCTCATTTAGCTTGTAATAATTCAGTAGCATGTCTTATATATGACCTACATGACGCTGAATGATTGTGCGTCTTATTTAAAGTAATATCTTTTAAGTGACCTCACTATTGGGCTGGGCACAATGAGCACCACATCATGGTTGCAACTGTTCACATTCTATAGGAATGGTCTAGTCAAGAGCGTAAAAACAGTAAGCTCACAACTTTGAGTACCTTGACATTACAAACATACAGTCAAATGATAAGTGCAACGCGTAGGTCTCATGTTGAAAGTAGAAACTTTATTAATTACAAATCAGGGACGAAGAACTAAACTCAAATGATGTTATACATGTATAGTACAATAAATGCAAAGCAAATATTGAAAAAAGCTCTGAACTAGTAAATAGCAGGATTTCCACATTCTTCCAGCCAAAAGTGTAGAGTTAAGGAGAGATGACCATTCATTCACACATACAGTATCACAAAGAGGAATTGTAAGCTTTAGACTGGCTAACTACGGAGTCCTGTGTCCAGCAAGCTACACAGTCAATAAAGTGTACAATGAATTAGTTTTAGAAAGAGACAAGGTCGTATTAGATTCAGAGATGTAAAAATGGATGAAAATCGTTTTCCTACCCAAATCGGAATGACCAGTTAGAATTAGAACCAAAGGGGAAGACATAAAAAAAAAAAAAAAAAGGTGTCAACTAAGAAGCCAGTCATGTTAAATTGATTAAAAAAAAATAAAATTTCACCATTTTTTTAAAAATACAGTTTATTTAGAAAGAGTATTCACAAGAAGACCAATCAACAATCTACTTGAATAACAATTATATCACATTTTTGCTCTGATTATGACATAAGTTGTGAACACATTAAAAAAAAAAAAGCCTAGAAAGTAGAGGTCATCTAAACAAGAAAAAGTGCAGTAGCCTCCCCTTCACCTAATCAACACAAACATAAGCCACAAGATTAGAAAGTTCAAGAAAGGAAAAACTCTGGACAGGAATCAACAAAAAACATTCGTCTCCATGCTTTGACATACATTTTGATAAATAGGAACAAAAAAATGGACACACAAGTTCAAATAGTTTTGAGGTAAGGATTTTTTTTTTGTTTCCAACTTTTGAAGCTGGAATGAAAAAAAAAAAATGAGATGGCTAAAACTTAAAAAAACAAAAAAAAAAAAAACGCTGCAATCACACATGGATAGTTTAGGAGGAAAAATAGGTCTAAGTGTTGCCATGCATGACTGGAGTGAAAAACGACTCCTGCATTGTATTCCACAGCTAATCAAAGGACTTCCATAATGCAGTGTCAGTCTGTGGAGTAAAATCTGTTTCATACAATGAAACAATTCTCATCAAAAGGTAACCGGGAGATTAAAAAAAAAACAACAACCCAGTACAGTTAGTTAGACACAGAATAACTCCTACTCAAACAATGACAGTTACTGTCTCAACTACATCACGGTCTGTCACTGAACAAATTAGGACAAAACAAATTAACAATAAGTTGAACAACGGGGAAAAAAAAAAAATTCCAATTGAAAAAAATCAAAATGACATGAGTGGTTGAATGTCCAGAACTTCATCTGGTAGTGTCCACACACCCCCAGTAGAGCATCAGCAAATCTGCATACAAATTCAGATGAGTATAAATATATAAAACAATCAGAATTGAAAACCCTGTCACTCCAGTTAGTTCCCCATAATGTGTGTCTACTTGTTTATCTGACCAGATCCTTTGCTTGTCAAAGCCTTCAGGCTCATGACAAATACATCAAGTCAAAGTAGTGAAAACAAAAATATTTGCTTAACAAAATCAAGTTCTATTTTGGTGATTAAGAAAGTATCTACATCTTATAATAATAATAGGTCTATAAATATATACACACACAAATATCTAGAGCAAATAGAAATAAAAAGGTTTCAGATTGGCATGATGTACAAATCCTACTTAGTTGTTTGAATATCAGAATTGAAAAATGTCTTTCAGTGCAGTCTAGTCACTTTCATTATTTATAACTCAAAGAAATAAAAAAAAAAAAAAAAAAAAAAAAAAGCAATTTCAAAGACTAACTAAAGGATGAATAGTCAACTTATAAACCAGAGTTGGTCTTTTGTTAACCTCCAAGTAGAAATTGAGAACAAAAATAAATAAAAAATACACACTTAAGCATGTTCTTATTAAGACTTTTATTTAGTAAAATAAACATACGATGGTTTGAACTAATAATGACATCATCCAAATGGCTAAATGAGAGACAATATGTTAACTATAATAGATCAATCCTGATCTGTTGATGATCATATGAACAGATGAAAACACTAGGTGGGGAGATGAAAAAGTGTACACACTCACCAATAAACTCAATGTCATGTCATACAGTCAAGCGATGAACAAACCAAAAGCCGAGGGACATGTTCAATGAACCATGCTGTGTCCACTCCACTTTCACTATAAATATCAATTGATAACCACAGAGAGTACATTCTGAGGCTAACAAAAGTATGAAGCTCTAATTTGCATGCAAGTTATTCACTTTGTTGGAATGCCAGGGATAAAAAGAGGGAAAGGATCGGTTAAAAAAAAAGGGTAGAAAATGGATGTACTTTCCCAGACAAGCAAAGTCTTCAAGGGATTTCTTGTAGTTTCTGCTGTGGCTGTCCAGACATTCCCAAGCCTCTGCTCCTTTTAGCTACATGGTAACAGTAGGGAAAAAATAACACACATAATAGATGAAACTAAAAACCAATGATTAGAATGTACAAGTCTGATGGCTACTAGCACACTAGAAAAGAATATTGATCACACTACCGGTAGATCAGAATGCATCCTTTTAACAAACAGCCTCAGTTTTATGACTAGTGGAAAATTTGGAGAATTTTGTCAAAGATTTGGAACATTTTTTTTTTTTAAACTGTCATGTTAAGAGTGGAAGTGCGTGTGTGGGTGTAACATCTTAAAACAGGTCATTTAGATTTTATAAAAGTCATTCTTGGATAACATATTGAGAATTAACATATTTTTAAGACCTCAATCAAATCTTTAATTCAATATTGGATTATACGAAGGTATTCTGGGAAGCATTAACTTACAAAACGTTGAGAAACAAAATGAGAGAAAGCATCAACAAATGTTTCTGGGACTAAAATGTTGGCCTGTACTGACTTAAATGAAACAAGTCATAGCACTAAGGGCTTGCATATAGACAATGCAGTTTTCAAATAGCAAACACATCCACAAAATGACAGGACAATCTTCCACGGGATTAGTTTGGTCAAGGGTCATCTCTTTCATTACTTGAAATATCAGTTGTATAAAATAGGATGAAATGATCAGGGATTTTTTTTCTCTTTTCTTTAAAATTGATATAAATATTTATTATATATATATATATATATATTCATATGTAGTGTAAGCAAACAATTAAAAACAAATGTTTACAAAAAAAAGGTTGATGAATACAAAGGTTGACTACTGCATTACACCGAAATAACAAAGACAACAGTCAAGGGCAATTATACATGACAACTTGTAACTAAAACATTAGGATGGTTGGAAGGGAGGCGATCCATGCATCACCACAATATAGATCTAATTTGTATAATTATAATAATTTAATGTATTCTTTAAAAATATATAACACAACATTGCAAATATTTAGAAAACCTACAGACAGAAATCTTCTGGCCAATCATCTCATCACTTGATCATTTACACACTTATGGTTTGGTTTTTAAATATTAAAAAAATGGGTTTTAAAACAAGACTCATTCCATGCTATTCATCAGCATATGGTATGCTTTCACTTCTCCCAAACCAAGGGTTTGTTGTATTTGTTGTTTCCATTGCTTCTGGTGAGCTGGCCAGGTTAGGTTTCCTAGAAACACCCATCCTTTTCTCTTGCAGAGACTGTAAGCTGATGACCGATGGCCGACTGCGTTTGTCATAACTGTCCATATGCTGCGAGTCCATGTCCATTTGAAAAGCATTCACCACTCGAATCTAATGGAAAACAAAGAACACATTTTGATATGAAGAAACTCATTAAAACTCTTAGGTTCAAAACTGTCAACACAAAAAAAAAAAAAAATTATTTAAAAAAACAAGGAACAACAAACAATTGTTTAATTAAATAACGAACTAATTTAGAAACATATTTTTCAAATGCATTCAAAAAAAATATTTTTTTAAAAATAAAACAGAAACAAAAAAATAATTAATTATGAACCAAATTAATTTACTGCAAATAAATGTTCTGACAATTATTAAAGCACCAAATAAGGTTTGATATCTTTTTAAAATGTATTTAAAATGTGAATTAAGACTAAGATTCAAATGTCTGAGTGACTTGGTTCCATAAACTATTTTAACATTACACAAAGTGGCCGATGAAAGCACATGCCATAGTAATAGCAGCCAGGTAGACAATGTCTAACACTTTTCATTAAGCTTCATTTAGGCCATAGCTAATGTGAACAGCTAAGAGTAACACCTTTTAAATTTATTTATATGACTGCACTTTTGCTCATGTGTGTCACCGTTTTCTTGTTAAAAAATAAAGGTTTTCTATACTATATTTATATATACGATTTATTAAAAAATATTTTTTTATGCCAATTGTACATTTGTGAAAATATTTGGTGTGCTTTGCTAAATGGGAGATGAAATCTATCAAATAGACAATGATTCATGCTGTCAAGGCACCTGGTAAGCAGAGAAAAAGACAGGGACAAACATCCCAGCAGACAAACATGCACATGCAGGAAATGGGGAAAAAAAGAAAGAAAAAAAAAAATCAAAATTTTTTAAAATAAAAATTTAGTTTGTCATTATTTTAGTATAGGCATGATTTCATGAAAACTGTCATCTTTAAAATGTTTCAATGATATATGATATCTAATAATAAAAAGAAATGCCAAGGCAGTCAGCAATAGTATAGTATATTTATGTAAATAAAAAAAAATATTATTCAATTATTATACATATTGAATGATTGTTTCTTAATTTGTGAAAGAAAGCTTTCAGGAATGGAAATCAAGAAAGTTTCTTTCTAATCCAGCAGGAATAAAAAAAAAAAGGAAGTTTGTTAGTTTAGAGCACTAATAAAATGAACTTATAGAATAAGTCCTATCTTATACAGGCTTTGTAAAACAAATAATATTTAGTCATGATGGATGCATTCATACACTAACATTTCACAGTCATGTGGCTTTCTGTAAGGCCTAACAGCATTCAACCAACCCAAAAAAAAGCCTTGAAAATTTCATTTTCACTTTCATTCCATAAGTAGCTACAAACCAAAACCCCAGCAAGCCTGAAGCCTAATTATATCTTTGATATTTACAGTACTGAGCTGTCAAATTGAAGCAATTGTTTATGGAAGAAGCTTTTTTCTGCATGCACCATGTTCATTGTCTTTATGTTCACTTATTTTTCTTTTAATAAGAAAAATAAAGTATTGAACAATTTTATCTTAAAACACAATTCCAGCACTGAAAATTTTCATCCTGACCAATGAGTGGAATGCAGCAGAAAAGTAGCTTCAGGACCACAGCCATAGAGAATAAATAGGAAGGGCAAAGCTATAGGCCACCGAAACCCACAAGCAAAAAATAAAATAAAAAATGCAAAACTAAAGCTTTGTATTTTTTGTCTCATTATTTTATCTTTCGAGATTTTTTTTAAAAGATTGATATGAAGCTAAAATAAAATGTCTGTGACCTAAATGTTGCACTTAAT